TGTTGTTGATCCAGTGATTGATCCAGATGTTGATCCAGTGGTTACTCCAGTGGTTGATCCAGATGTTGATCCTGTTGTTAATCCAGTGGTTGATCCAGATACTGATCCAGTGGTTGATCCAGTGGTTGATCCAGTGGTTGATCCAGTGGTTGATCCAGTTGTTGATGGTCTGCTTGTTTTGCAGTGACTTGAAGAATAAGATTGAGAAGGAGGACACGAAGCGAGAGTTGTTGGGTTCTCAGAGTAAACTGTCGGACTCGATGTGTATCCGTTGCCTTCAACCATTCAAGTTCCTGGTCAACAGTAAACGTCAGTGTCTCGACTGTCACATGTACACGTGTAAATCCTGCAGCCGCTACAACAAGAAGGAGCACGGCTGGGTGTGTGACAACTGCCGCATGACCAGGTGAGACTCCACCCACACAACCAGGTCACACTCCACCTACATGGTCAGACTCCACCCACACGGTCTGGTGTTGTGTGTACAGGGTGTTGAAGATTGGCACCGTTGGCTGGTACCATGACAACGTCAGAAACCGATTCAAACGCTTTGGCAGCGCCAAGGTCATGAGGTCATTGTACAAGAGGCTGAATGGGGACGGTAAGTCACCATGACAACGTCATTACATACCTTTCACCTTCACCTGTCCATCATTCATCTGTCCAACCCTTACCTGTCTATCGTTCACCAGTCTCACTTGTCCATGGTGTTTGATCAGTGTAGCGTTTGATTCCTCAGGTGGTCGTGATGATGACACGCAGAGTATGCCAGACGTCCGCAACTGTGAGTTCACAATAAAACAGCTGATTGTGTTATTTGTCTCAGTCCTAAAGATTTTTGTCTCCGTCTCTGCAGACATGTACAACGTTAACGAGGACGACCATGGCGAGTCTGAGGCTCAGCGCTACAAAGTGGTAAACTGTAGAAATATAAAAAGAACCTTATCATGATGAGACAACACATATTTAACTTCCTGTTTTTAATTGTCAGATGAGGAAAAGTAAACGTCTGCTGTCGGTTCATCCGCTTGACTTTGACTCTGAGGAATATTTTCCTCATTCACGACGAGCGTCTGTACAGGTATTTCAGAAAACTGAACACACACCTGAACACGTCACACACCTGAACACGTCACACACCTGAACACGTCACACACCTGAACACGTCACACACCTGAACACATGTTGTGGTCACATGACTAATTTCATCAGCAGATGCAGGAAGATCGATTTTACAGGAATGATGTCGACTATGATACGTACAGTCAACGTGGCAACCGCAGAAAGAGTCTGGATCGGTACGCCATGAGGCCCGGTCAGTACTACACAGTACACACAGAGTACACAAACCATAGAGCAAGTATGATATTATTATTATTTTTGTTAATTACAATTATTAGTATAAAGTATTTGTAATATTATAGTTATTATGTGTATTTTTAATATAATAATTCCTTTAATTTTGATTTTTTTAAATGTCTTTTGATTCATTTTATGTTTCATTAAATGTCACATTTAAATCTTTGTTTTAATATTTTTAATAATAGAATAATACATCTGTTTAATGTATTTTTTTACTTTATCAGTAAATATTTACCTGTTCATATTTACTGTGTTTGATCAGAGGACAATGGGGAGAGGATGGTGCGAACTCGTTCGCTGTCCAAGATCAGTTCGTCGGTTGCTAGGCAACAGTACGTCGATACCTCTGATGAGGATGAGTACCAGAGGTACCCCCCCCCCATGTACCAGCAGCCCCCCCACCGCCGCAGGAACAGCAGAGCATCATCTCAGGAGAACCTGGGACAAGCCCCGCCTGTAAGAACCAACAACCAATCAACGATCAAACAATGTCTAATACTAACGTCACATGATCGGCAGCGACATTCAAACTAAACAAAAAGTTCTGTAAAAAGTGAGAATGTGTTTCTGTTGCCTGGGAAACAGTTTGTGATAAAGAATAGAAACATGAGTTTCTTTTTTTCAATGTTGCAGATAAACGAGCTGAGCAAACGCATGTCGGCCATCGAGAGTCTGTTGAGTCGTCTGGAGGAGAAGATGACGCCCGGCGACGAGGTGACGTCAGCTTCAATGCTGATTAATAAATATCAAAATCAAATCAATTCTTTACATCACGTCTGTGTTCTCCATCAGGCATCCACTCCATCCACTCAGAACGAGGAGGAGAAGCTGCGGAGGAAGTTGAGTGAGTTGGCGGGAAACCTGAGCGATAAGGGCGTGTCATCGGACGACGAGAAGAAGCCCTTCTCTCTGGGTAAAGGTTCTGCCGGCGCCCGTGGCGCTGCCGTGACGCTGGATTCTCTGAAGGTCAAAGAACTGAGCTCGTCCAGTGACGAGGTCCCGACTGAGGCTCAGAAGGTAGGTCAGAGGTCAAGACAGCTGTTTCCTGTTTGACACTAAATCAGTCAGTGAGATACTTAGTAAGTTAGTTAGTTAGTTAGTCAGTTAAATAGTTAGTTAGTTAGTCAGTCAGTCAGTAAAATAGTTAGTCAGTCAGTTAGCTAGTTAGTTAGTCAGTTAAATAGTTAGTTAGATAGTTAGTTAGTCAGTTAAATAGTTAGTCAGTTAAATAGTTAAATAGTTAGTTAGTCAGTTAAATAATTAGTCAGTTAGTCAGTCAGTCAGTAAAATAGTTAGTCAGTCAGTTAGCTAGTTAGTTAGTCAGTTAAATAGTTAGTTAGTCAGTCAGTTAGATAGTCAGTCAGTTAGCTAGTTAGTTAGTCAGTTAAATAGTTAGTTAGTCAGTTAAATAGTTAGTAAGTCAGTTAGATAGTCAGTCAGTCAGTCAGTTAGCTAGTTAGTTAGTCAGTTAAATAGTTAGTTAGATAGTTAGTTAGTCAGTTAAATAGTTAGTAAGTCAGTTAGATAGTTAGTCAGTCAGTCAGTCAGTCAGTTAGATAGTTAGTTAGTCAGTTAAATAGTTAGTTAGTCAGTTAAATAGTTAGATAGTTAGTTAATAGTTAGTCAGTCAGTCAGTAAAATAGTTAGTCAGTCAGTTAGCTAGTTAGTTAGTCAGTTAAACAGTTAGATAGTTAGTTAGTCTGTTAAATAGTTAGTCAGTTAGTCAGTTAGATAGTTAGTTAGTCAGTTAAATAGTTAGTCAGTCAGTCAGTTAGATAGTTAGTTAGTCAGTTAAATAGTTTGTCAGTTAGTCAGTCAGTCAGTAAAATAGTTAGTCAGTTAGCTAGTTAGTTAGTCAGTTAGTCAGTCAGTCAGTTAGCTAGTTAGTTAGTCAGTTAAATAGTTAGTTAGTCAGTAAGTCAGTTAGATAGTTAGTTAGTTAGTCAGATAGTCAGTCAGTTAGTTAAATAGTTAGTCAGTAAGTCAGTTAGATAGTTAGTTAGTTGTCAGTCAGTCAGTTAGTTAGTTAAATAGTTAGTGAATATGTCAAGTGGATAGTTAGTTAGTCATTTGTCAGTCAGTTAGTTAGTTAGTCAGTTAAATAGTTAGTGAGTCAGTCAGTTCGTTAGTTAGTCAGTTAGTTAAATAGTTAGTCAGTTAGTCAGTCAGTCAGTAAAAAAGTTAGTCAGTCAGTTAGCTAGTTAGTTAGTCAGTTAAATAGTTAGTTAGTCAGTAAATCAGTTAGATAGTTAGTTAGTCAGTCAGTCAGTCAGTCAGTTAGTTAAATAGTTAGTCAGTAAGTCAGTCAGTTAGTCAGTTAGTCAGTAAGTCAGTTAGATAGTTAGTTAGTCAGATAGTCAGT